GAGGCGGGGCGGCTGCACGGGCAGGTGAGCTGCGCCGACCCCGGACCCCGGACCCCGGTCCCGGCGGCTCTGCCCCGGGCTCGCCTTTCCCGAGGGAGCTTTCCACCCCGGCCGCCGCGCTGAAACGGCAGGCGAGACCAAAGGGCTGACGTATTTTTTTGTGGCTGCGGTTGGTAATGGGTTAACAAAGCTTTCGGGTCCCCACCACACCACCACCACCACCACCACCACCATCACCACCCCTCCCCGCCTGCTCTCGATAGGACCGGTGATTCCTGTCACTGGCACTGCCTGAAAGGCCGTGAGGGTTATTAGAAGGCAGCAAGGAAACATCATTTCGAAAGCAAAGTATGTATTGCATGTCCCCTGCCAAAATATCCTGAAAATACAGTCCAGGGCAAAATTGCGTTTATGTTTAAAAAGCCTCATCGGTGGGCGGCTGCGTTTCTGCCGCAGAAATAGATTAAGTCACGCCATAGGATCTGAATAATTTCTCGCTGTTCAGGTCAGGTATTCTGAAAAAAACCCAAGATTGCTCCTTTGGAAAGGGGATGCAGCCAGATGGCTGCCAGGCATACGAGTCCCAGAAACACGGGGTTGCCATCTCTTAGCTAGTACCAAACAGAAAGGGGATTTCGAGGGGAAGAAGGACTCCCCTCCACTGTCTCACTTCTGACCCGTGATAACAGCACAGGTTACTGTGGGACTCCAAGAGGGTGAGGAGTTGAGCGACCTGCTGACGCCACTTTGTTAGGTCATGCTTTTTCCCTAGGTACGTCAGCGTATCGGCTAGTCATTACCAGCGATACAAACTTGGTTTTTAAGCCACACACGAGTAAGTTGCCAACTCTAGAATTTGAAGGGTAAGATTCGGGTTCAGTCTGTGAGTAACTGCTTTACAGGAGGCCGAGTTTCACAGAGCGATGGCTTTTTATTATGCCATAGTAAAGACACAGCTTGATCCTGCTTTGATTACTCCAGGAAAATTTCAGCTGATTTCAATCGGGCAAGGACTTGGCCCATTGTCAAAACTCCCAGCATCTTTAATAAGAGCAATACTGATGTAGTGATGTTTTTGAATACGTATATAACATAGGATTAAGCCTTTCTTTCCAAATTTCCTTGCTTTTCTGGGCTAGAATCAATCGATGCCGTGATAAGGTGCATAGGTTCAGATGATATGGTAGGTCAATTATTAGCTTAATGTCTTAATGTATATCCAAAGCAAAATGATCAATGAAAACAAAGTAGAGCCTGGATCCTGCTCCCATCGGAGCTGCCGGCTGGACTTTAGTGGTCACAGAATTTTAAAATAGCTTTTGTATAACACCATTTTGAAGGCATATGCGTATGCCTTGACTGAGACCAGGTTTGTTGGCGTGTAGTATTAATTGCAGGGTTTTTTTTCTGAAAATACAATGGCACGTAGCCATGCCGTCGCATCTATATGTTGTGGACACCTGCTGTCACCTCTCTGCTAACAGCCCGGGCAGGCAGCTCTGCAGGCAATTCTTTGCCTTATCAGCGCTGCGCTCAGGAGTGGGAGAACGAAAGGACAAATGCGGTGTCTGGGGACTGAACTCGGCAACCACTTGCACTCCTGAAACATGCCCTTTTTTAACACTGGAAAACTGATGACTAGGGTTGATTTCTGAACGTGCAGTGTGCCGTAGTCAGTAGTTTAGGGGGAAATCATGTAACTGCTGAACATACTGACATACTATAAATTCCTCCTGTGAAAAAAATAATCTGGAAATACTTAAAGTGCATTTGGTACTTGTTTAAAAAAATACACCAGAGACCATCCCAATGAAATGAAGAGGGACTGATACAGTTGAGACATGGGGGGCGCAATCAATAACTCTCATTTGTAATGGGCACTTGCTCAAGAAGCTTTTTTATTTCATCATCCTTGTTAGTGAGGCTGAGCACTCATACAAATGAAGACGGCTAACAATTCAGCCATAAATTTGTATCATAGACACATTTTTCTGAGATACAATTTGTGTAGAAGGATAAATATTGCATAATTTTATTTTGAGAAAACGCCTTTTTTAAAATTACTTGATTAGTTTTAAAAGTGCTTTTGAAACGACAACCAGATGCATGCACTTAATTGTACTCCATATTGCTGAGGGTGTTTGAGAAAGGACTGAAGAGTATCAAACATGCTCTCTGTTCAGACAGGCAGAGCATTCATGTAAGGACACTTTTATCACTGCAGACTGAGCCATAATCAGCAATTGTCTTTTATTGACCGGGAGTTCAATCACCTGTGGTGGCTGAGCCTGAAATAGCACCGGAGTTGCAAGAAATGCAGTGCTTGTGTAAGGATCGGGAAAGGTCTGACCTGGTGATACAAAATCCTAATATACTATCTGTACAGTATGTTCCAAATGTAATTCTACAAATTCATGCCTAAGAAAATACATTCTTCTATACAAAATCTTAACTTGCGCTGTTATTAATTTGACAGTTCTAACTAATGTCTAGCGAGCAAATAACACTGTGTTAACTGGTCTTCTGTAATTTCAGCAAATGCTGAGTTAAAAAAAATGGCAATTACCTTTTTAGTGTTGTTTTAGTGATTGGCCATGTTTGCGTAAGCACTGTCTTTGGCAGCGCCGCCTTTCTACAGACCCGATCCTGAAGCCCTTACACAGACAAATCTGTAACAGAGCTGGAGTTTTATACCTGAGGGTTGTTGGGTCAGGTCTCATGACTGCAGTTAAGTACTGTCAGCAATCAAGGACAGGTTATCTAAATGAGCACTGTCATCTGAGATTCTTTTTCCCTGTGCTCAGGACAAGATAGGTGTGGTAGCTGTGGAGAAGTACACATCCAGGATTCAAAGCTTATTTAATGTGATGGACGTGCATTAACTTCAGGAGTTCTGGATTAGGTCTTTTAATGGCCTCATAACCCAAAATGCATACTATGTGCAACGTGGGGAGCTCGAGTAGAACAGAACAGAACAGAACAGAACAGATTAGAATAGAATAGAATAGAATAGAATATTTCCGTTGGAAAGGGCCTACAACAATCATCTAGTCCAACTGCCTAACCGCTTCAGGGCGCTTCAGGGCACTTCATCTCGGTGGCTGTGGTCCATCACTGAAAAAGCAGTCACCAGAACAATGGGTCCCACCTGCCTCCCTGCAGCAGCCAGGCAGAGAGGCAGCGGGCAGCTCACCAGCGTGGATCTGGCAGTGGGGTCTGCAAGGTGCACCAAATTGGGGCACCCATGACAAGCCAGAGGGACACCCCCACTGACAGCAGAGGGAGAAGGGTTGGTCGCATCAAAGGTTTCTGTTGTGGTTGAATACAATGAGTCTGGTGGATGTATTTGTAATTCTCGTTACTCCTTGCTGTTCAGCTCAGGTATTCCACTGAGGATTGTTCCTTTGAAGAAGAGATTCGTCCAGATGGCTACAATGTCTATAAATCAAAAAAATACGGAATATCGGTGTCTTTGAGTAGCGCCAAGCAAAGACAACAGTTCAAAGGAAAAGATTTTCTTCCACTATCTCACTTCTTACCTATGATCAACACTGTGCCCGTGGAGTCAACAGACTTTGGTGAATACGGTGATTACAGCCAGGCCTTTGAACCAGAGGTGTACTCCTCGCCTCTCGAAACGGACAGCATGGACCCCTTTGGCATCACCTCCAAACTGTCACCGGTGAAGAGCCCCAGCTTTCAGAAATGACTCTGATCACACACACATGTTTTTAAAGAAATATTGCAGAATACTGCAGGTTTTTTTAGCTTTTCATGTAGTGATACTTTGGACTTCTTTGTATATTTCAGTACAGAGCCAGCCTTTTCCGTGCCATGTGTTGTACCCGTAAGAGATGAGTGCCCAGAGGCTATTCGGTAGTCTAAAGAATTGCCTATCCTTAGTTTTATCTGGAAAAGGATTAAATAAGAAAAGCTTAACAGCTTCATCAGAGTTCCTCCCTTACCGTGGTGATGATAAAATAATTATAATTTTTCTACATCAACTTCATTACCACGTATGTTCACCTGTTATTTCTGCTCAAAGGAGCAAACGCAGAAAACCTTTTTTTCCAGTCACAGGGAGGTTAATGATCTCTTAGCTTCAGAGGCCTTAAAGACAAACATTTGGAACACAACACGATTAAGGAAAACCTAGCAAATGTGGTTATGTGAACTAGAGTTAATGCTGTTTCTTGAAAAGCTGCTGACAACATTCTGGGAAAACTTTCTATTGAAAGCATGCCACTGAAAAAACAATTCTGCTTGTATATTGTGCTTTTTCTTCCCTTAGGAAATAACGGAAGAAAGGGAAAAATTTCTTCCTTCCCTTATTGCTAAAGGGAAAACTGGATCTTTGATTTCTTTTAAAGGCTAATTTATGTTCACTGTGGGATCAGCATCATCCAGCAGAAAGTTCTCATTAACATTGGTGAGAATTCAGTGTGTGGTTGGAAGAGTGCACAGAACTAGCATTTGTGGTCATCAGGTAGGGAATGAGCAGTTCAAATTAGTGTTTAAATTAAGGTTCTGTTGTATATAAGCATGCATATCATTAGCAAACGGAGAGAAAGACTGAAAATGGATGATGTATAGGTCAAATCAATTGCAAAACAGGTTTTTGTGTTTAACCTTTAACCATCAGCAAGTCTTTCAAGTCCCTTCCAGGCTTGATTCTGCACCCGTGGGAATCAGTGGAGAGACAGTTTAGTGACTTAAATGCCGCAGAACTGGGTCAGCCACGCCGTTCTTCTTGCGGGAAGGGATTATGAGCACCTCGTGGCCAAAACACGGATGTCTGATGTCTTCAGTTCTGTTCTCCTATTGTAACAATTTGACGAAGGAATAACCAAGGTGAAACCAAAGAAAAAAAGAAAAAAAAAAGCAATGTGAGAAAAGGGTTCAGGGATTCCATTTGTTTCCAAAGGTTCATTTACAATAGAGATTTCTATACAAAAAAAAGCTCTACTGGAAATACTGGTGTTCTTCTGACCTAGCACTTCATTGCCAATGCAATATTTATAATTAATTTATTGAATACATACATCTGTTTATTTTGTTACTGTTATTTATGCTCAAAATTCTATTTATATACTCCTGAAGGTGGGTTTTTTAGTTGTAACAAATTTTGTGAAGTTTTGTAATCATGAAATTTTAGCAAACGATAGCTTTTTAAATTTCTGTGCATTATCAGTAGTGTAATGTGTACGTTTGCAATAAAATAATCTTCAACACAGAAATCTAGCTGACTCTTTTGTCGCTCCTTTGGTCTAGAGACTTCAAGGAGCTTTAGCAAACCATGGCATCTGGCTCCGCAGCAGCCGTGTGAAGATGGAGTCCCTTGTGAAGGTGGCGTAGTTGAGGTACAACAGACAAGGACACGGAGAGACAAAGGGGTTTTCCCAAAGCTAGGCAGTGAATGCCAAGGCTGGAATTCGAGCCTGTCTGCTGCCAGTTACTGATGAGCTCCTGCCCTGGTTTTGGATGGGATAGAGTTTGTTTTCTTCCCAGCAGCTGGCACAGTGCTGTGTTTTGGATTTAGGATGAGAATAATGTTGATAACACACCGATGTTTAGTTGTTGCTGAGCAGTGCTTACACTAGTCAAGCACTTTTCAGCTTCCCATGCCCTGCCCAGCGAGAAGCTGGGAGGGGGCACAGCCAGGACAGCTGACCCAAACTG